GGGTAAGGTGGAGATGTTTTTATGGTTTTAATTTTTTTTTATTTAAGTTTTATTTTTATTAATTTATTTATTAATAATTAATGATTAATTCATATATTTTCAAATTAATCATAATTAAATAAATTTATATATTATTATTTAATGATTAATTAATTAATATATAAATATATTTTTAAGTTTTAAATTATTTGATAGAAATATAAGTTTGCTTAATTAATAAATTATTAATTAATGTTAATTTATTGCTTAAGAATTAATTTGTTTAATAAAAAAATTATTTTATATTATGTTACCGTGGTTTTGGGCAGGATAGTCATTTTTCCATAAACAGCTGTCGCAAAGCTGTTTTTTAACTGTAAAAAATAAACATGCAGTCAGCTTTCCCGCAGCAGCTTCCTGAGGCAGCTAAGTTGCAACCGATAAGCTGATAAGCTGCAGCTGCCCCAAAAAGACCCTACATTGATTTTGTATTTTTTCATTCTAATCTACATGATCACTTTTGGCTTTTATTAGCTAATTGTTTTAAATATTAACCGAGTAAAAACTCCAGTATTTAGCATGATTTGTTTCTCACACTTTGATTGGGGTTTAGACTTTCTGATAAGTTTCTCATTTGTTAGCAGTTCTAATAAAATTTAATCAAACATTAGTATTATACAATATTTTTAAAAGCATGCTTCGAAGCGCGCTTCACGAGCAAAGTGAAACAAAGTGTGTGATGCTCGCTTTGCTTCACTCAAGTGAGCGAGCATGCATGTGTATGGAGGAGAGATAGAGAGAGAGATGGTGTGCATATGCGTGCGCGGATGAACAGACATGCGTGCATGAGTGAGTGAGTGAATTCTAGAGTTACGATTGTTGGGAATATCTTATAATTTTACATGTAAAAGTCTTACAATGTAAAACCTCAAGCAATCCAATTATATGAATTCAAGTGTTGGATAACAAGTGTTATTGATAGCCAAGTGTAGTATGATGAAAATGAGATTGTTAAGATGGACTTTTGGTAAATCTATGAAGGATGGAATAAAATATAATTATATATAAGAGGGATGATGTGAATAGTATATTGATAATAAAATAATGAAAAATAGATCTTTGTGATCTAAGCATATATGAAAGGGGTAGAAGATGTACCAGTATGAATAGTTGGTAGAAGAAATCTAGATGGATTAGGTAGGAGAAGAAGTAGACTAAGACCTTTGGTGTAAGGCATCGAAACGACTTTCCACTATATGACTTAACAAAAATCATAGAGTTTACATGTAGAGCATCAATGAATTAAAAAAAATATTGTATTTATAAAGCCAACCTCAAATGTTTGGGACAAGAATACTGATGATGAAGGTGATTGTATGGAATATGAAGTTGTACGATTGGCAGATGTATCTATGGATCTGATGGATTATAACTCGAATTATATTACCATTATATTGTTTTTTACTTTACCATTACATAGTAATTTTTGGTTTTATTGTTGCTTTCTTTTTGTTCTTCTTTGTTTAGACTTGCTAATGTGTTTCAAAGACACGTCAATCTATGTTGATATGTTGCATTATGTTTTATCATTATTACAAGTTTATGTATAACATGCCATAAAACTGTTCTTCAGTCAAGGCTTTGTCTTAGATCTCTTCTTATACTTCCTCTAATGTTCTCATTCTTTTATTTATTTTATCCAAAGTAGTTAACAACGGGGCAGGGTATTATGTTAGAACAAATTCCAACCGAACCTTAAATGGAAGCATACTTTTTTTGACATGTAAGAACAAGATCATATTGTTGGTCACTATTGCCGTTTTGATCGTTTTTAACTTAGTTGCAAATAAATTAATATGAACATTTTGTACATGCATGCGTTGCTGAAAATTGCATAATATGAGGCATGTCTTGAGGCTCGGCACAATTCCAAAGAAAAATGTTTTAAGGTGTACGCCTCAAACAACTCAGGCACAGCGCATTCCTCACATTGGTTGAGGCATGCCTTGAGGCGTGTCTCACCTCAATTTCATTGAGGTGTGCACATCTTGCGCTAAGGTTTTCTTCCCTCCTATATTATAAGGTTTGAATATGAACTACAGCTACACTCTCATTCACAAGAGCTGCAACAGCCGTCTGCTTCCACTACAATAGCTGCTTGCTTCTGCCACAACAGTTAACTGTTTTCCAACAAACATTGCCACCGCCGCCACCACTTGCTGATGATTATTTGTTATGTTCTTATTTAGACCTATAGATGTTATTATGTTGGTTGTACAATATGAGTGAGAGAATTCTACCATGCTAAACTCATCTTATGATTACTTTGATATTTTATCTTGCTTTCATTTCATGTGTTATGTTTGTTTGATGAGTTGATGAGTTGATGAGTTGATGTTTACATTATATTTTTATTTTGTGCAAGTTATTACATGATAATTTATAGTTTATGTATTTGTTATTTCATATAAACCCAATTTGTTTTTTTATCATGCTAGAATGTTATTGTTTTTCTTTAATAGTTATATATAATATATAACTTGATATGCTAATATATTAAAATTAAACATTTATTTTGACTCATACAAATTTTCAGTTGTGAGGCTTACTCCTTAGACCGTTATGAGGCTTACTCCTTAGACCGTTACGAGGCTTATGCATCGCCTCACGTACAGAGAATGCCTCAATACCCAATTGCTCAAGTTTAAACCTTGCATTAATATACATGATCACTTTTGGCTTTTGTTAGCTTCGTGATTTAAAATAAAAACAATGAGTAACAACTCCAGCATTGAAGCATGATTTGCAGCTCACACTTTTATAGGAGTTTAGGTGTTCTGACAAGTTTCTTATTGGCTAACTGTTATAAAAAGATTTTATCAAAGATTAGTATTATATCTCTCTTGATTATGAAAAATATTGTCATCGGGAGATAATCTAGAATTTTTTGTTACAAATGATATAAATTTACAAATGTGGCTTTGAAGCAAAAAGTGATAACAATTGATGAAATTTTGAGACAAGTGGATTAGTATGATGATCAAATGCGCGGCCTACGGACTATTCTTGGTAATATTTTGTATGATATGTTTAAAATTATTGGATATAGTACATAGGAGTTTAGGTGTTCTGTTAAGTTTCTTATTTGTTAACAGTTATAAAAATATTTTATCAAAGAATAATATTATCTCTCTTTGTATTGATTATGGAAAAAAGCCATGGGGATATAATTTTGAGTTTTTTTTACAAATGATATAATTTCACAATTATGACCTTTTTTTGGAGCAATAAGTGAGACAAATGGATGAAATTCTGAGAGAAGGGCATTTGTAGAATGAAGATTAAATAAAAGGCCTATTCTTTGTAATATTTGGTAAGATAAGCTTAAATTTATTAGATATAGTCTAGATAGGAGTTTAGGTTTTCTGATAATAGTTATAATAAGATTTTCATCAAAGATTAGTATTATATCACTCTTTGTATTGATTATGAAAAAAACATTCATGGAGAGTTAATTTGGAATTTTATCTACAATGATTTTTTTTTACAAGTGACTTTTTTTAAGCAAAAAGTGATAACAATGTAGGAAATTTTGAAACGAGGGGATTAGTAGTAGAATGAAGATCAAATACACGGCCTATTCTTGGTAATATTTGGTTTGATAAGTTTAAATTCATTAGATATAGTATAAAAATTCTTGGTAATATGTGGTTTGATAAGTTTAAATTCATTAGATATAGTATAAAAAGGATATACACATACATACATACATACACATACATACATACACATACATACATACATACATACATACATACATACATACATACATACATACATACATACATACATACATACATACATACATACATACATACATAAAGAGTGTCTGTGGAGCTGATGTTCGTGTGCAAGGATTGGCAGGCATGCGTGCATGAGTGACTTCTAGAGTTACTATTGTTGGGAACATCATACAAATCTACAAATGTTATAAAATCTTGAGCAAACCAAATATACTATTTGGATTCAAGTGTTCAATAACAAGTATGTCCATTGATAGCCAAGTTGAGCATGATGGAAATGAGATTCTCAATTTGGCTTTTGGTAAATCTATGAAGGATGGAGTAAAATATAGATATATTAGAGGGATGATGGAAATAGTATATCGAAAATAAGATAATAAAAATGGATTTGGTGGTTTAAGCATGTATGGAAAGGGTAGAAGATGCACCAATATTATGAGTTGATAGACTAAAACCCATTGGTGTAAGGTATGCAAAAGATTTCCATAATAAGACTTGAAAAAAATAGAGTTTACATATAGAGCAAGGATTGGTTCAAAAAGGAGGATTTATAAAGCCCACCTCAAATGGTTGGGACGAGGATAATATCATGATGAAGGTGATGGTATGGAGTATGAAGATATATGATTGGCAGATGTATATGGATTTGATGGAATGTAACTTGACTTTTAATTGCAGCAAATTGCTTTTCATTTCACCTTTAAATTGTAATTTATGGTTTTACTGTTACTCTATGTCCTTTTTGTTTAGACATGTTAAGCGTTTGGAAGAAACACAGCAATCTATGTTGATATATTGCATTATGTTTTATCATGATTTCTAGTTTTTGTATTACATGCTATAAAACTGTTCTTCAGTCAAGTTTGTCTCAGATCCATCCATGTACTTCTTCTAATGTTCTATTTAACACGTTTCGATCTTTTTCCTATGCTTTATGCCATTGCTAAGGCTGCCCAAATATGTGGAAACCAGCAGTGCAAAAGAATGGGTAGAATTATCAATTATTATTGTTGGATTAACAAGTAATAGTATGAGGGATTTAAGCATGGAGAAATCTTATAGCTTGAAGAGTTTTTCAGAAATCTTTTACGGCGTACTGAATGTTTGTTTAGTTTTCTTCTCTTCTTTGGATCATTGATAGGATCACAAATTTATTTTAGTTTGCTTCTCCATATTTTTTTAGGCTATTTCTTATTATTTTCTTTGAATTCCTTTCAGAGCAGTTTTCTGCAGCTCAAAATCAGCAATGGAGTTCACACGGAGAAACAAATACTTCAATCTAATTTCTAAAGGAGTAGAACGCGATGGCTGGAAATTCGTACTCCTGGCTCGCTTTTCACCCGTTCCATCCTACGTAATCAACTACGCCTTAGCCGCCACCAAAGTTCGGTTTTTCGTTGATTTCCTCCTCCCTACCGTCATAGGTTGCCTGCCTATGATCCTCCAGAATACATCCATTGGCAGCCTTGCCAGTGCAGCTGTGGCTTCAACCACCGGCTCCAAAAAAAACCAGCTTTTTTCATACATATTTCCTCTCATTGGAATAGGATCTAGTGTTTTGATATCCTTCAGGATCAAAAAATACTCTTCCGGGATTTTAGCTTCAACCGAATTCGAGTCATCAAACTCTTGCGAGAACAATGGCTGCGATGAAAAGGTTGCAGATTCATCATCTAAAACTTCGGGGGAACGAAAACGGATGGATTGAAGCTTGTGATGTTCTGTTTCTTCTGACGGTCTTCTTGATCTCAAAGATCTGAAGCAGACTGATCTGCTTGATGATATATGCTCTGATTCTGTCATGAAAGGTTCCTTTATAGGTTCATGAAGATTGAAGATGAGCTGAAATATAGGTACTGGCCATTGTTGAAGATGCTTTGTTGTTTCTTTCTTTATGCTTTTATTAGCCGTCAGCATAGCGTTGCTGGAATAATTGAAGCTTCATTGGACTTGCGTTTTCAGCAGCTAATCAAAATTCTGGAATGATACCTGTATGTATCATCATATCTGTTGGATATATTTATATTTAGCTTGGACCAAAAAGTTTATTGTATATGTACAATTTAACTTTATAAATAACTGTCGGTCTAATTTGAACAGTGTAGTTGTATCTGTTGATCTCTTACATTACATCTTCTCCGGATCGAAAAAATATAACATTAGTACTACGCACGTAGAAGTGACGTGCGTAGCCAATTGTGGTTAGCCAATAAAATCACGCCACGACACCCCGCGCGACAGGGAAAAAAAAACGGCGCATTAACACGTGGAATATTCTCCTCTGTGTTATTCATGTGTTATGGTGTGTTATTCATGTGTTATTCATGTGTTATTCATGTGTTATTGCGTGTTATTTATGTGTTATTGATGTGTTATTGTGTTATTATAACACCAAGAATATTCTCAGGACACAATAACACATGAATAACACACAATAACACCTGAATAACATGGGGAATATTCCCGACAGAGAAAAAAGCGGCGCAGTAACATAAGAGAATATTCTCCCCTTTGTTATTCATGTATTATTGTGTTATTTATGTGTTATTGATGTGTTATTGTGTTATTATAACACCAGGAATATTCTCAGGACACAATAACACATGAATAATACAATAACACATGAATAACACGGAGTGAATATTCCTCATGTTACTGCGCCGTTTTTTTTTTCTCTGTCGCGCGGGGTGTCGTGGCGTGATTTCATTGGCTACGCACGTTACTCTATGTGTGTAATACTGATGTAATATTTTCTTCTCTATATCATATTTCATTCTTTCTTCAAGTCTTGGAGGAGAAGCATCTACGTTCTTTTTAGAACAAAAATTATCAAAATGTTCTCCGATTATTTATGGGGTCTATTTTAATCTAATATCATATAAAATATTTGATTTTTTTCTTGGAATATTAGGACCCAAATTAGTCATGTTAATAATTTATACTATTTGGTTTTAAATTGATCCTCCACAGTTTAAATAGTCTTTCTCTCTCTCTCTCTCTCTCTCTCTCTCTCTCTCTCTCTCTCTCTCTCTCTCTCTCTCTCTCTCTCTCTCTTCTCTGCGCAGTCTAAAATTAGGATTAGGGAGTTTCTTAAAAGAAACAATTCATCAATAAATTCAATGAATTGATTATTACACATTTGAAATTGTCTGTAGAGGTGTTGTTTGGTTTCCTGAATTTGTGGTGTAAAATAAAGTAAATGCAGAGGTTTTAAAAATTTGGGCGTTTAGATGCAGTGTAAAATTATGATAAATTTAGAATTTACCTAGCATTTGAAAACATGTATTCAAAATTTATTAGATTTGTTGGGTGAATTTTAAATATAATGTAAGCTGTAGCCGGTCGCCCCGCCGCCACTATTCCCAAGCATTTTTTACATTGATTTCATTTTCTTCAACTAGACATAAAAATGTAAACTCTTGCATTTATTTTACATCAATTTAAACAACTTTAAAATATTTTAGATTCACTACGATTCGAATACCATGTATTTCTTTTACACTTCAATCATTTTCAACAAACTAAACATCTTAATAACACCATAACACGAATTAAACTTGTTGCATGTTGGATAATGTGGCAGTAGAATTCTATTAATGTGTTATCATTGTACAGAAATTCAGCACATACACAAATTAAAAAAAAAAAATTGATAGAGGGTACACCAAAGATTTTTAGTTTGAAAATCCGAATGAGAAAAAATCACAAGACCTAGCTCAGTTGAAATGATTTCATTATTCATATTTTTGTTATAAGAATTTGTTTGCTATTGAATAATAGAAAATAATATTACGAGAATGGAAGAAAATATAGGGGAAGAGACAACGACTCGAATTTGGTGATGGAAGACTGACAATACAGAGTGTGTGATGGCAATATGACTATATTAAAAAGATGGTGATTGCCACTAAGAAATAGTGATCCATCAACATTAATAACGATGGGTATGTGAAAATAATCTGACAGTGTTGATTTGACAACAGAGGTCCAACTGCAGCAATAACATCAATTAGACACCTGCGGTCTAATAGCAATTACGACATTGGCCAAGCAATTGTGACAACGGCATCACCTTCAGCCACGTGATTGTGTTCCTATGACTGATAGACGATGGTGGTATGATTACAGTAGGGCCTGAGAAATAGTTACCCGACGAAGATGATACTAATATGGTGATGAAAATAACAATTGGGGTGTCGATGGGCAAATAGTGGCCAATGATAAAGTTTGTGGTCTAGCAGTAGTGTTGCCCAGCTAACAGTACTCCAAAAATGCTGAAGGCCTAACAGAGGTGACCCTATGTAACTGAGGTGACGATTGAGAGATAATGATTCGACGATAGCGACAGTAGACCACAACATTGGCAGAGAACTTACATCAGTGATTTGGCATAATGATGGACAAAAGTTGATCCAACAATGATGGTAGTGTTCCGATGATGGTGGCCTGACGGTGGCGTTTCAGTGATGGCTGCCTGACAATAGAGTTTTGGTGATGGCAGCCCGACGATGGCCTGACAATAGTGGTCTGGAGGTAGCAACAGTAGCTCAAAGTTGATTGGTTGATAGTAGAATTATAGTGGTAGTTGCTTAATGATGGTTGCAGGAACAGTGGTGGTAGTTCAGTGAAGGTGGCCTGATGGTGGTGGCGGTGGCTCAACGTCAGTCGATTATTGGTGATTCAATGACAATGACATCCCAACAATGTTGGTCTGACACGGTAGCAATGGTCCAGAGCTGGCAGTATGGCGGAGGTGTTATTGGCTCGTTGTCGTGTCACATCAGTTATACGGTGGAGATGACAGTCTCACAGCGATGATCCAACATCGTGGCAATGACCGATGTCAGTGATCTGATAATGGTTATCCGAAGGTGGCAAGAGTAGCACAAGGATGGTGAAAGGTGGTGGCTCAGTGATGTTTAGATGTTGCTGGTATGGTGGAAGTGGCAGCCCGTCGATGGTGGTCTGGCATTATGGTGATGTTTAGTTTAGATTTACTTTCAGTTGCAAATTGTTTTGTCTTGATGAATACTTGTAAATGTTTCTGATATATATTTGTGGTAGATATAGTTTCTGAACTGTTTTTCTACCCGCTTACATTTTCCGTATTGAATGCTATATATGTTAAAAATTAAGTTTGGGGGGGAAGAAAAATATTTTTTAAATTTAACTTTATTTGTCCTCAACAACATATATTTAATTTGATATCACTTTTAAAATAACTTGTGGTGTGCGGTGTTACCTTGAGGTTATTATAATTTTGATTTTAGGAATTTTAGAAAAAACCTAGTTGAGATCTTATGTGAAGAAATTGTTCTAGAGTTAATATATTTTGCATGAAACATTAGGAAAATTATTTTGCTATTTATGGTAGAAATAAGTTGAATATTTGAAAAGCTAAGACTCTTAGATTTATACTTTATGAGGATTGAGCCTTTGAAACCTTTTTCAAACCAATACTTAACACTTTTAAAAAGTGAGGGAAAGTTTTGAGTTTTTAACTTTAAGAAAAATATAGTAAAATTCAAAATTATTAAAGATCTATCCAGATATAATAATCGTCACTTAAAAAGAAGTAAAGATTAAAAAGATCCTGAAGGAAAAAGAAAAAGAAAAAAAAAAGAAAAGAAAAGAAAAAGAGAGAGTAAAAAAACATGAAAAGTGAGGAGAAGCTTGGGTGAATCCTAATCAAATATTGGTTTCATTTGAATCTTTTTAAAGAAGAATACTTAGAAACAATCCTAAACTTATGCTTCTTTAAAAAAAAGTATTGATCAAAATTAGTGTAGATATGGTGCTTAAATTTTGTTTTTAAACTTTCTACGAATCTTTTGTTTGACAAGTTTCAATAACTTTTGAAGTAAATAGAAAATTAGGATTTCTAAGTTTAATATGAGATATTCTTACACCCTAGCATTAGGTTGATTTGCTAGAATTTCTCCTAAGTTATGCTATAATATTTCCGAGACAAAACTATAGGAAACTCTATTAAAACCCATTACCTCAAATCAACGAATTTGTTTTTACAGTTATAGAGTTACTTGAATACAATTAACATTTAAGTTTTGGGGAATTGACACTCCTAAAAATGTGTTTGTTTTTATATACATTTTATGTTCATTTTTAATGATATTACACTTTAATGAAAGGTATTTTGTGTGTTTTTTATTACAGGTGTAAGAAATTGAGTTTTGGAGAACATAGAGTAAAAATGGTGCAAGTTGGAGTCAAATAGAGCAAGGAAGAAAATTTTGAACTGGCGCATTTTGATATGTTTTTCTTATGTTTAATTCTCTTTACATTTATCACATATTTTTGAATGAAATTATACTTTAAAAAAATGTTATTTTCATGTTTATCTTATAGGTATAACACTTGGAGCTGATTGGAGCTGAAACGAAGCAAAATGGAGCAAAGTGGGGCGCTGCCAGCAGGACGACGTCTAGGCGCCAGTCCCGCCCAGAAAAGGCGTCTAGGCCTCAATTTTGGTGCCTAAGCGCCAAAAACGTTTGTGGACGAATCTAGACGGCCCAAAGAGTTTATAAAGCACCTTTTAAGACTTGGGAAGACACCTTTTGTCATTTCAAACTATTATAAACCCCAAGAACATCCAGAGGGCATAGAAAGTAGGAATGTAGATTTCTACATTTTCTGGAGAGATCGATGAAGGATTTTAAGAGATATGTATAAGGAAATGAACGAGCATTCTGTGGATCGATAAGAGGCTTTGTTGGAGAGATTTACATCTTTCTTTCAGAGGGGAAAAACTAGTTATTGTGTTCTTCGTTAGCTTATAATTATTGTAAACATTTTCTATGAGATTTACTTTAATTTAGTGAAGTTTTTTGTTGTGTTTTATCCATTCTTTGTGAGTAGTTTTCTTTACTCTTTACTTTTGATATGAAGTAGTGACATGAGTACGAAAATTTATTTCAAGATATAATAACTTCTATCTCCATGTGATGAGTAATGTCTCCTTTGCTTCATTGACATAAATTAAGTGGCTATAGGTTATGTTAAAATTTGTTGTAAGTGAAATCAATGTTGGCATCAGTTTTTGATGTCATGTGTGTCCACGACGTCGATATTACCTAAGGAG